ACAGCACGAAGCACACTTAAGTCTGACTTTACAATTAATATACAAAAAAACCTATGGTTTATTACAATTAGTCTTTTCATAATAAGTTACGTAAACGTACACAAAACGTATGTAAAAGTATCTGTAAATTGAAAGGGGAAAGTGAAATGACATTTCTGTACAATCCTACCTAACAAGCTGAATCTTGTCTTGGACTTGAAAATAAAGATACAATACCTTTAAAGCTATTTTTTCGGCCAGAAGTGTACTTGTTTATGGGGTGTGTTGAACACTTTTGAGCAGACCGCAAGACATTTGTGAAAGAGCAAAGAACAGACGGCAAACAAAGTCCATTTTAGGTCCCACACCTTCCCCGGCTTAGACATATGCAAATTTTGAGCGCGAACAAATTGTGCAATTGTTGCTGCGAGGAAGCGAGAACAAGGCAGTTAGCACGTGTGGCACGTATTTCATTTCAGGGCCCAGCGAAAACCACCTCTATCCCAGACCAGCGGAAAGCGAGGAACCAGGACAAAGGTCGTCCAGGGGGAGATCAAAGGAAGCGGGAAAACGCCACTCACAAAGCAAGAATGTGGCACAAATGCACTTTGCGCCGGTCCGTGGAAACTCCCTTCTGGCCAGCTCACTGGCTCACTGGCTTAAAGCATCATCTTTCTTTAATTCATTGCCGGCCAGCCTTTTCGGACCAGTTTTATAAATTATTCCATTCCATTAGGGCTCGGCTTTCACGCTCCACGCTCGCCGGTTTTGAGTCCGGAGCCAAGCGGGCAAGTGTGTGTGGAAAATAAATAAATCGCTTGTACTCGTAATCTCCGGCAACGTTTTTATCGCTCTCTCCAGCTATTTGACGCCGCCCAACCAGCATAATCCCCGGTTAACAGATACATCCGGCCGGCGGTGAAAGTAGTGTCCCTGTGCGGGCCCTTTCGTCGGATCTCAGTGCCTGTTGAGCGATTCCGTATTTACACTTTATATTTATTTGAAATATGAGCCACTTTCCTCGCTGCCGAGTGCAGCGCTAAATAAATCAGCCAGCACGCTCGCAAATCGCACCCCTGGCAGCTGTCAGTTGGCATTATTATGCCCGACAAAGGGTCCTGGGAAGGGATACATTCCCCGGACACTGCGGCTGGTGAAGCGTACAAGATGACAAAATGCGATTTGAATGGGCAGCTTAAGCAGAATGTATCTGTCAGTCGAGACACGATGATTTCCATTTCTTTCTGAATAAATTCCTTTCTCGGGCGGGACGAGAGTCTGACATTATTGGATGGCTATCAAGCGAATCCACCGAGGATAGTAAGCAAGAGATTTTTTACATTTTCCCTGCATATTAAAATCTACACGGTTTTTTTCTTTCAGCGGCCTCATATAGAGGCATTAAATAAATTAATTGATATTTCATTTGATCCTTAAGTCATTCAAGCTCAATTGGCCACGGTTAAGAGCAAATAAAATTTCTGCTCTATAAAAGGGACTTTACTTATAATCCCCGGCTGAAGTCCACAGGAGCTGGCGAAATTGGAAACTCATAAATTGCCTTTATGCGCTGTCATTCCATTTGCAACAAAAGTGCTGGAAAACGGAAAACGATTCAGTGCATCAATACCAATCCGGCCAAATCCAAATGGAATGCCACTGTACGGGCCAAGGCTAAAACGTTTCTGGCACGGCTGTCGCAACAGGAAGAATGTTGTTTTAGGCGAAACGCTATTTAAGCAATTTAAAAGCCCGTTCTGCCAGTCCTCACCCTCGAAAAACACTCCATAAAATATACAATTCTGTGCAAATGTTGGGCTTTTAACACAATCTCTTTAAGCAGAAAGCATTTGATTTATTCCACACTCGATTATTTTCTTTTGTGCTACATTTCAGGGCGGTATTAATTGCCGCCCACCATCCCATTTAATAATTGATGCTTTTGTTTGCTTAAAAAGCGAACGAAATTTTAAGTAAAACCCCTCATAAATCATGCAACGATCTCGCCATGTGGGCGATATAAAGCTGGTGCAGACATCGTTGTATGATTTATGCGCCTAATAAATTTCTGCTGCAAAAACTAAAAGATGTTATGCGCTGAGCGCGGAATGAAGATACACTATCCACGGGAATAGTTGGGTTCCATTCCACTGAGCGCGGCTCGATTCACAACTGACAGCCAACGAATTGGAAATCGGCGAACAAACATTTCCATTACTCATACGTCGGGGGGACCGTGTGTGCAACACGGAAAACCGAGACCAAACCAAACCAAACCAAACGAACCATTGAAAACATTTTGACAGATGCAGACGGCACAATTTCGCTTGGCTACGTTTTTTAATACACAACAGTTTTGCCAACAGTTCGCGAACAAGGTTTTTCACTATGCCCGTTCTTCCGAAAAGGGGCGAAGGGCCGCAGGGGCGTGGTCAGGGTCGACACTTCTCCGCTGAGTGCTAAAATAGATGCCCCTACACATGTAACGCACATGCACAAAGTGAAATACATTTGCCAGTTTTATGCTTTTCCAACCGCACCGCCCCGCAATTTCCCATTTTCCCGCTCTTCCCGTTTTTATTGAAGTTCACCACCGCTCGCTTTTATCAAATGCAATTTACGGATCCCTGACATCGGGCATTAGATGCCAGGGCTGCCGAAGTCAAGTCAAGTCAAGCTTGTTTAACGCACGCATCTGCTTTTCCTCGGCCCTTGCCTCATTTTCCTCCCTATAGACCAGGTTTTTCCGCTACTTTTCGCCTACGGCACTTTTCCACACGCTTTTATTGCTAATTTCTGTTATTGCCAACGTTTTGCGTGAGTTTCGCGCGTTGTCGTAAAAATATTTTTATTAGCTGATCAAGGGGGGTGTGTGCGGATAGGAGGGTGGGAGGGGGCTGGGCGCGTTAAGGGCCTTACCTCCGACCCCCAGGAAGGAACATTAAAACGAGCTGATACATTTCAGCAGACACGCTAGAAAGTATGCTACCACCATCTCTGACTTCGATTCACACAAGCAGCTTGATTTCGTCGAGTTTGATCTATCAGTAAACCAGAATTTGCAACAAAATGAAATTGTTGTTGAACAATCGGTTATAAAGAAATGATTTATTGAAATAGCTCACAATATATATATATAGAGTACTTTCGAGCTTACTTTTAGCCTTTAATAAGATTCTACCAATGAAATCAAATACTATTGTGAAACTTTTTGAACAGAATTTATTAACGTTTTATCCACAGGTAAATATTTTTCATCCTTTAACGATTATATTAAGATTTGCAAGGATTCTTCTTTACTTTTTCACCTACAGTCCAGCGAAATCTCTTTAACCTTGATTTACGGATTTTGTGTAACCCTCGGGGTCTCCAACAAACTGTTTTGGCTGAACGTTTTAGATGATTTATCCGATATTTATCTATCACCCAACTATTTTCCAACCCGCTTGAATACCAAATCGCTTATTTATTCAATGGCTGATGCTCAGGTTCCATGTCGGGGATTTATGGGCAAGTTTGTGCCGAGAAGTCGTAAAATGTAAGGGCCCAAGCCAGCCACTTTTACGGCTACGGCCAGTTAATAACCAAATTTGTCTGCTCAGCTTAAGCATTAAATTGCTGGCAGATGAGCTTAACAAAATCGAGGGCAACAACAGCGAGTTGCCCAGAGTGATGTTATGCGATTTCGGGTAATTCGTGTAATAAATATAAAACTTGCAGTATTATTACAACAAGAGTCGCAGAGCAGCAAACACCGAGCAATCATGGCGGAGAGTTGTCATAAAACGCCACTCGCTCACAAGTGTTGTGCACACAAACTGCATTCAGTTTGCCATTACCCAACCCTCGGGGAATCCCCCATTTCTGCACAGCCAATTTGCAATCCCAGATTTTATGATGTTCGCTTCTGAAGCAGAGTTTTCTGCGTTCCTGGCACTCTTTGTGGTTTTTGCTCTTGTCACTTTGCAATTTAAGTGCAGGCAGCAATTTGCCTAAACGATAAGATTACAAAATGGAAAGGGGGGAAGCCACCTGACAGTTCTCGGTTGCCACATGCCAGCAATTTGTCGTTTCGTTTTCAACGTCCAATATCCTGAATCGAAAATCTTCGATTTGGACTGGACATGGCCGGTTTCCGCCTGAATGCACAACAGCACCAGGAGCAACGCCATGTGCATCGGCAACATCTCGGCACAAACATTTGTTTGTGCTCGACGAGTGAGTACTTGCACACACCTTATTGCTATTTGCTGTCCACAAAAACATTGTCAACCTACGCAGGCGATTCTCATTGCAGTTGACAGAAATATGCACACAGAAAGAAGTAAATATTTACTTGATTTTAAAGAAATGTGCAAGTGCACAGGGTAAGACAAATACATACATGACTTTGGAAGTTATTTCGAAATCAAAGGGAAGAAATCATAAAATATGTATGCTAAGAAACCATACAGTGCAGTTAAGGCTCGGAACTATTAATAGATATACTTAGTAATTGCTATACTTATTGATATACTTATAGACACAAATGCTTATGTGTTAACTCACGAATTGTAGGATCTGGTATCCACGGATCAATGAATATTATTTTTTACTGGCGAAACTTACTATATTAACGATCAAATCAAAGCCACCACTTTGCAGATAAAATTGTAATCAACTTTGGTTGGTTATTCTTTCTTTAATTGAAAAATACCACTAATTTTTGGATATCTGCCACCAATGCTGTTACTTAAAACCTGATGCAATTGTTTAAGTTCAATTAGGTTACTCACGCAACCCATACCTCTATGTAAAAAATCAATGACTGCAGACTAAATAATTCAGTTGAAATCACTGCAACAGTATGCATCCTGGGACTTTAACACCAGCAAGCTGTTGGAAAACCAATTAAATTCGCTTCCAAATGGACCGTAAAACGCAAAATACTTATGGGGAGGCGGGCACACAATGGCGCCCGCATTTATGAGCGCTCAGAAACCAATTTGATTGACTAACGAAACTTATTTGCCACATTTCAGCGGACGCAGTGCATCAGTCGACGGCAGCCATGAGCGAGCAGATTGGCAACAGCAACGGCAACCCCAACGCGACCTTCAGTGGGAGTGGCAGCAACGCCGCCTCCATCGCCGAAAGTGTGGCGGAGAGCGGTCCGGACTTCGATGCACTTCGGGCCGCCTGCGAAGCGCGGCTAAATGGCAGCGGTCAACTGGCGGGTAAGTCCTGCACTGGAAGAATTAATAAGCCAAGAAGCAGTATTTTAAAACTGCAAATTGATCTGCATATTCCTAACATTGCATAATTGAATAAAAAACTATTTGAATTAAAGTTAAAAAATGAGATGATAGTCATATTTACTTTTAGGAAGATATAAAAATCTTTGAACTTATTGTGTTTCTTATCAGTGTACTTCAACATGTGTTAATCCCATATAAACAAGATTAAAACCCAATTTAAATGTAATATTTATATTTATTCCCAGGATAATAAAGTAAATACACACTAAATCCTTAAATAAGGCTTACAAATAAAGCAACTTAGGGGAGAAGGTTATTCTATCAGAATTTGTTCATAGACAATTACTAGAGTACTGCAAGTTACTTTAACCAGATACACCGCATTTAATGTTAAAACTCAATTATCGTGACCAAACTCGCGCTGTCCAACTCGATTCTTGTTATTGAAGTACCATTTTTTTCATTACCCCTTTCTCGCCAATGAACATTGCTGGACTTTTTATGAATTTCGCTTTTAAAACCCATTCACTGTGCTGGTAAAAAACAAAACAAAATTGAGATCTGAGTAAGATAGGAAATATAATTTAAAAGTTCTGTTGAGTAAATATAAAAACTAGTGATGGCCATGCAGTTTAGTGCTTTTTCGCTGCGTGGTCTGGGCCCGGCCAACTGCAATTTCGGTGTTCATTATGCACGAGTAACTTTAAATTGACCTTTCCCTTTGCCCTCGACAAACAGGCTCTGCAGGGCCCCACTGCGCCGGCACCTTTGATGGCTGGCTTTGTTGGCCGGATACGGCCGCCGGCACTTCCGCCTACGAACTCTGCCCGGACTTCATCACGGGATTCGACCCAGCAAGTAAGTACGGAGGGCAGGAGCTGAATTGTTTATTAAATTCCGCAAAGCTACATCCGATTCGGGGTCAGCAGGGGATCTGCATATGACACGAAAAAGTACATACATATCTGCCCCTCCAAAGGGAACTGTGTTTGCACGGGGAAGATGGGCAGATGGGTAGACAGACTACCCTCTAATTGGCCTCATCCCTAAGCTCATCGCTGTATACCCATGAATAAAACAGAAATACGCTCGCAGCCAGGCCAAATCAATTGGAAACTTGTTATGGTTATGCTTTGATTTCGTGTCGTATGGAAACATAAAATATTCACATAACCACACAGGCGAAAGGGAGCCGGCTCCTCGAAGCTCCTAGGGCCACTAAATTATCCAAAGGAGCTCGGCAAAATGCTGAAATGCTTTCGCCTGATTTGACACAATTGGCCGGGATCTCGCAGGAATCAGATGAAACGGTGAAAACAAGGCCAAATTGATTGCGGCTGCTGAGCAAAGTCAAAGTCAAGTGTGTATGTATTTAAAATGCTAAAGAGTTTTACATTTCACAGTGACTGGAAGTATTTTTATAAATGGACTACCTGCTGTTCAGAGTACAATATAAAAGGGGAAACCCTTGTCAAGGTGTTAATAATGGCCACTATAATATATGAACAGGAGCAAGCACCTTTTCATATACTTTTTATAAATAGAAACCCTTGTCAAGGTGTTAATGACGGCCACAACAATATAATTACAGATGCAAGCTTCTATTCGTATAGTTTTTCCAACTCATTCTTGGATCATTAATGGCATTGTGCGTTATTATCCAAAGGTGACTCGAATAATTACTCATGTTTTTGCCGTTCTATGTGTTATGCATTTAATCATAATAATTCGATGAGAGCTATATAAATTAATCAATTGAATAGCTGAGCACACGACGAAAACTAATTAATTATGCTCTTCAAAGGTTGATTAGCCCGGGCATTAAAGCAAATACTAAAATAGCACACGCACGCTCTGGAAAATCGGCATAAATGTGTATAAATATTTTTGAATCCATTTGCGGAATAAATCATGCGCTGCATGTCAATTTGCATTAATGGGGCGCTCAGCCACATGGAACAAGCCAACTTGAGCCCTAGCCCCGTTTTGGCCATGACCAGGGCAACGAAAATAGCCAAAGTTGAATGACTTTTTTTGTCAAGACAGAGAGGAGAAAACAAGGCGAGCGCCAAGAAAGTGCTACTTTCACTACATTTAGCTTGTGGTTTGCCCGTTGGCCTCCCCTTTTCTTTTTTTGCCTTTTGGGGTCGCCGCCAGCTTGTACAAGATTATGTGCTTTGGCACTGCGCCGCCATTAACTTTTATGGCACTTCCGGTCTCCGGATGTCGATGTGGTGAGCTACGGACGCCAACTCCTACTTATCTGCCACACAGCGCGTATACGTGATTTTCCCCGTTTGCGTGCCAAAAGGCGATAAATGGATTCGGGCAAAGATCATCGGTAGAAAAATACGAGAAACGAACGACCTGATAAAATTCACCTGCGGAATTCCTCACAGAAACGTTCCTGCACTTTTTCGACAAGTGCCACTCGGTAAATTGCACTGAAACTTGGTAATTCGCAATCGAACAGCACTCGACATGCCACAAGCAAAAGAAAGTTTTTGTCACTACCATCGGCTCGATTTGACTAGAAAAACACATGACCTGAACAACAACAGAATGATTATGCAATTTTAAATTCATACAACAAATTGATAAGGTCATATTGCGAATGGCAACCGCAACTTGTTTGCGGTTAGCTTGGTGGCAGTTGCAATAAATAATGGTTAATACAATTTAATTCTCCGGCCCACCGCAAAATGTAAATATGAGCTGGAATATTTATCGAACGGTCAATCATAAAATTACACATATTTAATAAGAATAAATATTTGTGTAGTGCCGGATTAAGCGAAATGTTTGCTGAAAAAAGAAAACAAGTTTAGCTCAATTATTCATTTAAATATTTATTTAAGAGGTGTAAAAAGTGTGGTAGGCACCGCAGTCAATTATTTTTAAATTAGGGAAATTGTTAAAGGGAACTACAATATTTGATCATTGTGAATTAACACATTAAAATGTATTTTGAACAGGATTTGCCCACAAGGAGTGTGGCCTCGATGGCGAGTGGTTCAAACATCCGCAGACCAATAAAACATGGTCCAACTACACCACCTGCGTAAATCTCGACGACCTCGAGGTAAGCTGATCCCGTTCTCCAGTGCTATTAATTAATAAGAATACTCTACATCCTTGTATTTATATCCCTAGTGGAGGCACAGCGTAAACCTGATCTACGAGGTTGGCTACGGCACCTCGCTGCTGGCCATTCTGCTGTCCCTGGGCATATTGGGTTATTTCAAGTGAGTATGAGTCCTCACTCCTTTGTCTTGGCCGTAAGTTGACGGATTCGTTGGGAGCAGGAAAAGCCACTCGTGGGTAATGGCTCGCTGGTCGTTATACTACGACTTGTATTATGACGACTGGCGCCAAAAACGAAATTTATCGACGGCAAACAAATGCGACAGTGGCTTAATCAACTGCCAACCTGGGTGCTGGCCCAAATGCTCATTGCACTCACTTAATGCGGCACAATTGACGCCGGAAATGGGAAAATACTTTGTCTCTCCCCCCAGTTGTGTCTGCTCTTGGGGACCCGGAGCAGGATATCGATTAATTTCCCAGTGCCTGCAGACCAATTAGTGCTCGGTTTGTTTATCACTCATTCGGATAGAGATGGGGCTCAGGATAATGGAGGAGCAGACGGGGAGGGATGCTACAGACAGGACGACCGACTGACAGAAGTGTTTTAAATTGTGTGCCAACGGCAAATAAAATGAGGCCAGCGACGTGTGGGAATTTGGTCCGCCCTAAAAAGTGTATAATTAAAAGTTTAATGACAAAGGAGCGTGACCAAATGAATGGGAAACCAGAGACCCTCCCCGAAAAACACATTCACTTTAAACAGCCGCAATGAAAGTGGCAGGGAATTTCAATTTAAGTAAAATTAAATTGAGAAATTAAGTCAAAGTGTCTCTGTGAATGAAAAGAAATACTTGGTTTTTATTTCGTTAGCTTTAACTATCTTTTGAGACCTAACAACTAAATTTGATTTGATACCACTCTAACGATTTTGTTGCCTTGAAAATATTTTAATTTATTTTTATGGTTCGATAATTCTAGTTAAAGCAGTTTAATAATTTGCATACAATTTGTATAATGTAGATTGCCTGTTGAAGATATGTATCCAATTTCAAAAATTTAAATAATGATGAAGAAGTGATTGTGATAATAGAATGCAATCTAATCCTTAGAATTGATTTGCCTGGAAGAAATCAAATTTAAATTCAGTTTGACCAGATGCCAGCAATCAATGCAATTGAGCAAGAGAGAAATGGAAATGGAAATGAACTTTGGACTTTTGTCGACCAGACTTTTTCAGCCTCTGCTGCCCTATCCAATCTTCTTCACTGGCCCCTAGCCGAATGCAAATTGGTCAATGGTCAAACTTGCAATTTTCTGCCGACAAAAAATGACCACAAATTCCCGCCCAAAGTAATTCATCTGCATATTTGTCTTTCGGTTGCCCAGATCCCTGAAGTGCGCCCGCATCACGCTGCACATGAACCTGTTCGCCTCCTTTGCGGCCAACAACTCGCTCTGGCTGGTTTGGTACCTCCTGGTCATGCCGAACACGGAGCTGCTGCACCACAGTCCGGTAAGTGGGCCCACCTGGCGAATGTCTAACTGCGATTCAACTCCGGTTCCGATTTCCGCATGCCGTTGACTCCTCAGATGCGCTGCGTGGTCCTCCACATCACTTTGCACTACTTCCTGCTGTCCAACTACTCGTGGATGCTCTGCGAGGGATTCTATCTGCACACCGTCCTGGTGGCCGCGTTCATTTCCGAGAAGAGGCTGGTCAAATGGCTGATCGCCTTTGGCTGGGGCTCACCGGCCGTCGTCATATTCGTCTATAGCATGGCCCGCGGTCTGGGCGGCACGCCCGAGGAGCATGTGCAGTAAGTGAATAATTAATAGGAGTGCGTACACAGGGAAAATAGAACCTACTATAAATAAGTGGTGATTTAAAAGATTAAAATTTAAAGGTACACCAGACATTGGAGCTGCAACACAAGTCACAGGGGCTTTGAAATTGATCTTAAATGTTGTTTTAGCTGCCTAAAAGTATGCTGCATAGAAGGATAGTCGTTTCTCGGAATGAATTCATTGTACTTTTGTTTTTAAAATTTATTGTTGCATACTTTTAGACACTTAAAATGATCTAAAGTGGTATTTGAAAATATATTTTTTATATCCGTATTTTAATTTTGTGTTCAAATTAATTCGAAAAAATCGAATTTACATTTTGACAATATCAAACTAGGTTACCGATTTTTACATGTGTGGTAGAACTATTTAGTAAATCCGATGCCTTGCAAAATGCTAATCAAATCAATCAGCAATTCACCCCTGACTCATCTCGTATTCCCCGTCCACCTTGCAGCTGCTGGATGAGCCAAACCGACTACGATAACGTTCTGGTGGTGCCTGTGTGTATCTCCATGTTCCTCAACCTACTGTTCCTGTGCAACATTGTGCGCGTGGTCCTCCTGAAGCTGAATGCCCCGGCCAGTATTCAGGGCAGCTGCGGTCCATCGCGAACCATTTTGCAGGCCTTTCGGTAAGTTTTGCCCTGCCCCTGGAGAGATTACTCCAGCCCGCAAAAAAAATAACTGGCGAGACTAAAGCGTTTGTAGCCGAAAAAAAGAACTGTCGACAGGCCCACGGGGCGAATGCGTAATTATATTTCGTTTCCCTGTATTTATCGTAGCGTGCTGCTCCTTAGAATTCTCCCTCCAGCCATCAGCTCTTTTATTGTTTATTCGCTCTGCACTTGGAAGTTTGGTTCATTTTACATTTTAAATTACGCATACGCCGCGTTGACTTGCATGTTAATACACACGAAAAGGAAAACAAGGCATTATAACTCACCCGCCCATCCTGTTTTAGGGCCACGCTGCTTTTGGTTCCTCTGCTCGGCCTCCAGTACATCGTAACGCCGTTTCGTCCTGCACCCGGACATCCCTGGGAGAATACATACGAAATCATCTCGGCGTTTACGGCCTCGTTTCAAGTAAGTAAAATGTTTTCGTTCCTGTTCTCGTTTTTTTCCGGCTTTTGTTTTGCACGCTCTCATAAAATCACTTTACGACTCTGAGCTGGCTAAAAGTTATGATGTTAGTTCGCCTCATGGATCCACAACTGGAAATGCAAATAAGCCAGAATAACTGAAATACCAAACAGCAACCCCAGCTCATTAGATCCGGGGTCTTTTTGAATCAATAATGAAAGTACACGCCATGTGGAATTTTCGCCATTGGCATTTGGCTTGGTCACAGTATATTAAATTGCTGGCCGAGATTGGAGCAAAACATCCCCTAGAAAAATGTGGCAAGTTGAGCATGAAATGCACTCCAGGACGCAGGAGCTCGTAAAAGCAGCTCGAGGTTGTCCCCCGGCCAAGTCAGTGCCGATAGAGCAGCACTTACAGTCAGTTAACATATTCTTCCTGGCCACAACTTAAAGACAACGCAGGGAAACTTTCATCGGGCAGATACATTCGCATCTTGAGGTTGAGTCCCCAAAGAATTTTGTCACACTGTTGCTCTATTAAATGTTTTGCTGTTTGAGCTATAATATGTATCTGCCGAGTTTCGATTTGAGTAGATAGAAAAATAAGCTATAGAAATCTGCCTTATTTTCGATTTTCAGCTGTGTACTTTAACAATCTGGTCATGGTCTGAATATGTACATCTCGTAAAATATTCCTAGATAGAGGTCACGAAATTTAATCAGCTTATAAAGGTACACTAGCTAGACATCTTCAAGAACCTATTCAGGAGCAGCCCTAAAACAAAAGAAAAATCCATTATCTTGCGAATAATCGTTAAATCTTTTCGGGTGTGCCTAAGCTGCAGTTGAGCCCATGCCTGTTTTCTATATTGCTCAGTAACTAAACAGCGTCACCTCTGCCTGAGCCACTTTCGTCGGTGTCAGTCGATTGATAAAATCTTTTATTCGCGAGCTGAAGTTTTAAAGCCACCCGCCAGGGACTGCCTTTTGCTTTTTCCATTGTCTTGTTTACTTATTTTTTATTGCGCTGCTTCCTGTTGCCTTATTTGCTGCAAAGAAGGCAAAGTTTTCCCGCTGAACTCAGTGGTTGCATATAATTTGGATTTATTGTGGCAGCCGCTGATGATGTCTACAGTCGTAAAAGATTCCCCGCAAGTTTTAAGCTCCGGAAAGAATACCAAATAATTTTGAGTCGGGAACAGGGGACTTGCAGCGCAGGGAAATGGAAAAGCCGAAACTACTTAGCCAGCGATGAGAATTTATACGCATGTAAACGTGTTTATTTGGTTGTTTTCGTGCCGAAATCAGAAACTTGCTGCAATTGCAAGCTTCCCACAGAGATTTTCCTCTGTTTCCCCCGGGGGCTTAGGGACATTTCGTAGTTAACAGATGTGCAAACAAAACACGTTCTACTTTAATTGAATTAAAAACTTTCGCTTGGCAGAAAGCTAAAGTGAAAAACAAACGTCAGATGTCAACAGAATAGTGCTACTAAAAAGGCATGGAATGCTATTATAGTCTAGAGTTCTTTCCAAATATTTTAAATCAACTAATTGACTTTCAAATGTTTTTTTGAAAATTAAATTAAGTTAGTAATGGCCAAGTCTGTAATTAAGCAAGAGTATTTGAACAGCTTCAGGAAGTCCCATGAAAATATCTGAAAAAACATTAATCCGCCACAAACTTTTTTGGGAAGCACTTTTAATAAATGGCTAAAACTGCAAGACAAAGAAGAATAGTTAAAACGGAAGCTTTATAAATGGGACAAATGAGAAGAAGAAGACAACGCAGCAGGGCAGCAAAATAAATGAAAAAATTGAATACACAAAGTGCTGTTCACATATTGGGTGGGTATTGTGCTCTACATGTAGTAAACGTTGTCCATCCGTTTTGTGGTCAAGCGTTTTCCGGAACCCATGCAACTAAACAGCAATAAACTATAAAGAACAGGAACAGGTTTGCATTACAATGTGCAGAAGCATCATAACACCACAGTTTTAGTTTCAGAGATAGCAAATAACACACATGCAAGAGTTAATCCTAACTTTATGATTATAAATTTTGAAAATAAGCACAATTAAAAAATGTATATTTAAGTAACTGCAGAAGTTTTTGGCCTTATCAGCATTACTGCAATACTTTCGAGGAATAATAAGATCTCTTTAATAACCTCCAAATTTAGAAACAAACAAATTTTAGAAACACCCCTGCTTTTGATGGACTTAGTAAAACCTCAACGCCAGTCTTTTACTTGCAGGTCTTCAAATTTATCTATGTGCATTGTAAAATATTGTTGATGGTTGATTTTATGATTTTACTCAACCTTAAAGGTAAAAATTTTAGGATCAGGAGCCTAGAGCTTTTCGATACCTCGACAAAGCTGCCTCTTACGAAAATGAAACTGTTTTTTACTTCATTTCTATAGCCCCAGTTCCCATTTGCAACCTAGCAGAACTCAGATTTACCTTTAGTAATTATATGATATCATTGCATATTTCCATTCAACACCATTCCTGTATTCCAAATCTGTGTATACTAAAGCAGATAGTAAATTGCACAATTCGTATAGAGTTTGTTGTTATTATTGTTAAATACTATATTTGTAGGTAAAAAACCAAATTAATTTTCTCATTACTTATATTGACATTATAATAAATTATAAAGTCACCCTGCGCCACCTTTACTCCCTAACTTTCTCTAGTTTTCGGAATATTTTAAAAATTTAATTTTGAGAAGAAAGCCCACCCATTCAGGTATCGACAATCATTTTAAGTGGAACTGAAGTTGTTCACTTGCAATCAAACAACAAATGAATTACTTGCAATATGCTGTGAGGCAACTATCCCCATTTTTATTATGGAAAGCCAGGCAAAAATGGAGGAGTAAGTGGATGGCAACTGTGGCTGATTGAGTCCATGATGGGCCTCCGTGAGTAGTGGCAATCAAAAGAAGCCCGCTCCGAACTGCTAACCAGAAATCCAGGCGGCAGTCAATGCACGTACCCGGCCATACATTAAATATTTACATATATATATGGCCCACACAAATGCCGGCTGCGACAATCAGGCAGAAAGTGGCAAGACAAATGGCAAACAGTGGGATCGGATCGGGAAGGACTGACGAACGAAGGACTCACGGCTCGTTGAAGTGGTCGTCTGGCAGGCGAAATGAATACCGACCCATTTCGGTGGCGGGTGGGGGAATAACCAAAGGAACAAGCAAAATTGTATTATGTATTGTATTAGGACCAACTGACGACCAACAAGAAGGGAGCTATGGGAAAAAGCGTGTGTCGACTATTGGTACACCGTGGAAAAGCATTTGTTGTATAAAAAATAAGTATAGTGTTAACGGGATTGCTTAACACACATTAAATAGGGGTTCCAACTGGTCACTAGGGCTTTAAAATTACTTCCCCTTAAGGTATCCAAGAATGTTTTAAGACAAAGTAATTTGTTCCATTACCTCGTTTAGATGAGATACCAAGACAACTGATTGGGCAAAGATACAAAATTATGATACCCGCTTGCAGGGCCAGGGTACAAAAAGGGACCAAAGTAATAGGCATTGTGATAAGGACAACTACGATAAGCCCCGGCGATAATTTGGTCTGCGCACTCACTCTAGACATATTCTACTTTTGCAGGGTCTGTGCGTGGCCACTTTGTTCTGCTTCTGCAACGGCGAGGTGATTGCCCAAATGAAGCGCAAGTGGCGGATGATGTGCTTCAGCAACCGACCGCGGACCAATTCCTACACAGCCACTCAGGTCTCGGTAAGATTTGTACTAAAAGCTTCACATGCTTTTCTTCCATCCTTTCTCTCTACTAATTGTGTACCACGGGTTACGGCGCGTATGAGTAATGCAGCAGCACTAGCACACTTTAGCACTCACAGTTTATTGGCCTATACTATAGATACGCATTAATCGCATGCAGCTATGAAAAGAATTAATACCAATAATACATGTGAAAACATAAAGATTATACAAGACAGTTACAGAAACCGACGCACCGTTGCCAACTGGCCAACCACCATGATAGCAAATTCTCAGTTCTTTTGATTGTAGTTCGTGCGCTGCGGACCGCCACTGCCAGGAGAGGAGAAGGTATGACTAAAGGACATGTCGGCCAAGCGACGCGCCTCCTCGGGCCCCCAACATCACCACCAGGGCCAGCAGTCGTCCTCGGAGCAGCAGAGAACCCGCAGCCAGAGCCTGGCGGGTTCGACGTCCTTCCTCGACGACTGGCGCGGCCGGATGCCGTTCCTGAAGCGCCGCCAAACCATCGACAACTCCCGCCAGAGCCAGCCACTCATGGAGGAGGGGGAACCCGCCGGCGGAGGTTCAGCTCCCCTGGCAAAAACCGGGCCAGGAGCAGGTGCCGCCGACAGGCCGACAATGATGACGACCATCGCGGAGGACGTTGCAGAGGCGGGCACGGCAGCAACATCCGACGCAGGAGCAGGAGCCACCGGGGCGGAGGAGGAAAATCATCCCAATGGCAGGGGCACTGTCATCGTTCGCATGGAGAGAGCTGGCCAACAGCACATGGCCGATGAGGCGCTTTAGATTAACCCCTTCGAGTCACACAACATCTCATAGTATAAGCCACCGTTACCAAAACCAAAACAGGTCAAGAACCCGCAACCCCACCAAAAGCAACAGCCCATTGAACCCAGTTACTATCGCAAAGGGATGTTTCTGAAATTCCTGGAGGCTACAAATAATAATTCGGGTGTCTTTTGGTAGGCAGCTTAAAAGAGCACATTGTTTGTTTAACTAAGTATTGCTGTCGCTTAATGTTTAAAGACTTCGTCGAAATGTATTCAAAATAATATTACTAGCACTACTAATATTGCTGTGCTATCAAAAACACTTAACTTGTTTAATTTAGAATCAAATTTAAGATTATCTGATTATAAACTCATGACTATCATAACTGTCGAAATCTATTAAAAATTGTTCAAAACTGTTTACGCATATTGCATAGCATACTTTTAGACACCCGAGATATTGTAGGAAACCGCCGGACAACTTCTTAAACACCCATAATAAATTCCTTCGCCAGCAAGGCTGAAATATATTTCGCCACATTTTGCACATGCTAAATGTTAAGTTTTTATAGTATATTTTATAGTTTTCTTCGGTTTCCTCAGATTGCAAAAGCGAAATAAATTTCAGCCTTTTCCGGCAACGGACCCACTTGAATGAGAACATATTTATTGTACCTATGAATGTAAGAATTTATGTGGATATTAAATATCATTGTTGTCTTAAGTGTTAAGTGTACCCTAGGAGTAGTTCCCAACTCCCCTCCCTACATATATCTCTCTCTCTGTGGTAAGCTGAGCTTTCTGGCAATCGCTTTTAGTGTGTCTATGAATGTACGCAAATGTAATAAAATTTTAATTATATGAATGTTTACTGAACATTTCCAAGTTCCACTGTCTTTGCCCTGCTCTGCTAATTAGTCAACTTTCAGGTTGTTTAATGAATCTAGGATACGTCTGTCAGCAACAGCCAGAACCACATCGCAGCCCGAACCTAATGCTCATTTAATGAATGCCATTTGAAGTGAGTTCCCCACCTTGTTCCCCATGGACGTTGGCCAGGTCTGCCGGCCTGGTGATGAAAGCACAACAGGTGCTTCTGAATTCCATTTAACCCAAAGCAGTTTGTGCCACAAATTGAAGCCTAATTCACGTTGTGCCCAGCCGTTAATTGGTAGGCTTCAGTAAAAACAATGCTTATAAAGTTGGAAATGGTATAATAGCACTTTCATTACTGTACACAAAGTTCGTAACAACCGGTAAGCATTAGACATTTACTAATTGATGGTATTTAACTACTGATAATACCATTTGCATTTATATGAATTAATGATAAGGGGACTATCATTTTAATTGCAACCCTACATTTTCATAGATTCTATTACACGTAAGTAGTAAAGTGCTCGAATTAATTTTTGTTATTAATGGGCAATAGAAATATAATAACAAAAAATATGTGGAGACTACGTCTCTTTCTCTTCTTCTATATCTTGTTATAACTTTAACTTATATCCTTTTCCCAACTGATCAAAATTACAACTTGTTTTTGAAACAATAGTACTTCAGACGCACTACAATTAAAGAAAGTTTATATTAACTATGAAAAGCAAAGGCTGTTAGTCAAGCTTAAATAAAGAAAATTTCCTGTAAGTTAGGACATGGCTAAATGATGAATGAGCAGTACAAAAAGTTACATAGTCTTATATTTATTTTCTCATTTCTGAAGCCCACTGGTTATGAATCTCGGTGTGTCAGCTTTTCTCCCGTAAACTTTGCGGCAACCTGGCTGAAATGTGTTCTGGCCACCAGGACACTCAACTGCAACAAAGCCATTGCAGTGCTGTCAACATTTGTTGACACTTATTGAGGATTGTCCGTTGAGGTCTGGCTCTGGTTTGGCCATTTCCGTTGGTGGTTTTTTAATGACGTCCCTGCAAGTGGGTGGGGTGGGTGTGACTGCCACTGCGACTGTGTTTGTGTGGCAGACACGTGTCCTCGCTGTTTCCCCATTGTGCGGCACAATGTTTTATGCATGTAAAGTGTGTGCGATAAGTGGCAGTTTCACATTGTGCACTATCACACTCCTGCCCCCAGAAACTCATAATTCTACGGATTATTCGCGCCCGAAAGCATAGCGAACATGATGCTGTTTTCAGCCAGGTTGATGTGGCTCATTCGCTCGTACGCCCGCCGAAGTAAACTTTTCTCATCAGCCAGCAGGCAAATGAGCTGTTTAATTCCGGAGCTGTTTGTTTTCGTAGCTGCCATCGAAGGGAAACCCCACACAAGGGAAAACATTTGTGTTATGCAACTAGCAAGGATCTTGTTTCACTTACTGACTTAATGTTGCATGCATTTGCAAACAATTATCATGAAGTTGCGTTACAGTTTTGTAGAATAATTAACAATTTTTCATTTAATGTAGGAAATGGGATTTATTGTATTCGTATACATTTTCCGGAAACATATTTATTAAAATGTCTAAGATTAAAAAAAGTTTAAAAAAGGCAGGTGTACATCTTTTAAAACTCTATAAACTGTCTAAGATGTTTAAAATTGCTAGTGCTAGGCAATTTCTTTTTTAAAAACTGAACCAATATTTAAGAAAAGATTTTAAACAACTTAGTTTAAGCTTCAACCTAAAATACAATTTTATAAAATCGTTTAGTTTCGAAAAGATATAACGAACTTGGCTGGTTTTTAAGTGATACTTGGGCAAAAGCCCTAAAAATAAAGGTAAATCTCAAGGAATTTTGGCATCGTCATCGCACGTCCTTGTATCCTGCGTGACTCGCACGTCCTGTTGTCGGAGGGATAAGTGCATTCCGTTGGCCTTCAGACGGAATTTATGGTGCGGTGGGTCGGGTCGCAAATAATGCATAAACCTGGCCAAGTTGCAAGTGCCAGTTGGAGAGCTGGGTTTGGTCTGGTTTGGGTTTGGGTCTGGGTTTTGGTTTTGGTTGTGGTTTTGTCTTGATTTTGACTCTGGTTGCGCGTTTGACTTGACAGTGATTTTTCGGCATCCGGGAGAGTGCACTTTAATTAAAAATTTTGCCCCAGTGAAAGGCTGGGTGTGAAGTGTGTTTGAATAGAGTTTCTCATACGCCTGGGTGTGCGGCTTTTAATTGAAGCGCTGCTTGAAGTTGAGGCTGCTGTTGTCGCCTGTGTATTTGCATAATGAACTCAATTAAAAGTTGGCCGCTTCACACCCACACTCCGATGTCGGGTTGTTCCCCCCCATGGGTTAGACTTAGGCTAATGGCAGGAACTGTTTAACGAGGGGGTGACACCTTGCTCCCTCTACGAATTTACTCCTTTTTGTCCTTGAGCAGCAGCTGCATCCGCTGCCCCACCAACCCCAGTGGCTTTCGTGCCACCAAATGGCAGGTGGATTGCCTGAAATGTGTGGGTGTTAAACTGGGAAGTTAATGTGTCCTGATTCACCACTCACTTGTATATGATTTTCTCACGGTCCGCCCAGGGCCAAGATCGCTCCAGCTTATCCAGTCTGAAGAGCAGCTGTAAGTAGTGACGACATAATGGTTTTATCTATCTTCTCGGAAATAATCGGGTAGTTAAGACATAAGTCATACAAAAAATAATGTTTAAAAATAAAAACAAGGGAGAACGCTATAGTCGAGTACCTCGACTATCAGATACCCGTTACTCAGCTAAATGGAGATATGCAAGCAGCAAAGCGAGATTAAAATGCGCCACCTACCGGCGGTATACAGATTTAAGCGTTATGGGCGTTAGAGTGGGCGTGGCAAATTTTTTTTTGGATCAATCGATAGGTATTGACGAGACCAATACATTTCAGTTAAAATTTTTTATCTAGCATGAAAATTGTGGGCGTCACAGGGTTTTGCGGTTTGTGGGCGTTAAAGTGGGCGTGGCAAATTTTTTTTTGGATCAATCGATAGGTATTGACGAGACCAATACATTTCAGTTAAAATTTTTTATCTAGCATGAAAATTGTGGGCGTCACAGGGTTTTGCGGTTTGTGGGCGTTAAAGTGGGCGTGGCAAACTTTTTTTGGGTCAATCGATAGGTATTGATGAGAACATTACATTTCAGTTAAAATTTTCTATCTAGCATCAAAACTGTAGGAGCCACAGTTTTGGGCGGTTTGTGGGCGTTAGAGTGGGCGTGGCAGTCTACTGAAACAAACTTGCGCTGCGTAGGAAGCTCAGGAATCTGCACGCCAAATCTCAATAGCCTAGCTCCCATAGTTTCCGAGATCTCAGCGTTCATCCGGACAGACGGACAGACGGACAGACGGACAGACGGACAGACGGACATGGCTAGATCGACTCGGCTAGTGATCCTGATCAAGAATATATATACTTTATGGGGTCGGAAACGCTTCCTTCTGCCTGTTACATACTTTCCGACGAATCTAGTATACCCTTTTACTCTACGAGTAACGGGTATAATAAATACAGTGGAATGAAATACACCACTAAATAGTTAGTTTTGAATAATCATTAACTCAT